TGTAAATAATTATGAACAATGAAAACTGAAATTTAGAAAAACTATGAACAATTAATAAGGAAAATATGTGATTTGCTGTACAGTTTCCAGAAAATTATTACAAGTCCCAGAAGTGCATAGAGTCGTCAAAACGTACAGTTTGGTGATAGTTGGGAATGATACCAACGATATAACAATTCCATGAAAACATCACAATGTTCTTTTAACACATGAAACGGATGTGCATTGGTCTAACTTTGTATGGTTTTCAATAGGCATACAAGCACCTGTATATATTTTGACAATAAACCCCTCATTCACATTGTGCAAATACAAACAAGATAGTAAACCTTCTTGATAGTAACAAGTAAGTGTTGCATAAACCCGAATGAAAAGTCCAGAGTCACAGTGAATACTTCTAGCGAGTTACCCCTCTAAAACGGCATTACTTTGCCGATGACATTGAACATTGCTCTTCCATAAATCAGCAGTTTCCATCTTCAAATAATCAAAATAACCTTGACACCCTGGCGAAGCATGTCAATTGTTTCACAACAACTGTCCCAAGGAATTTTTGTTTTCTCAATTTCTCAAGATAAATGTCCCAAGGTTGTTTTGTTTACTAGAAGGACATGCCTTTTGGCAGCATTTCTTGTATAAATCTCTATTGCACAAACAAGTAGCAGATACTGTTACTGAAGCACATAATTTGCATGAATTTTTCTCCACGGCCATTCACGCAAACTGCAAACAAAGTATTTTACCTCATCCATAGTTGTTGACACTTTGCAACCGCTTTGATGGATGTATTGTGACGTATTTTGAGCCCGGATTCTGACCTTGCATTCTGGCTACATTTACTGCTCTTTCATACCAATTCAATTTCCTTTCATTATTACATTCAAATTTCATGATATTTAATATTTAAAACAAACTTTATTTCACAGTCACTTTAGTTTTCACTTTTCTAAAATTATTTTACTGATCAAAAGACTTTTCACTCCCATCATGCAATCTTCCATAGTACTTCCGCAGACACAGTGGCGATCGCCAACATAACTCCAAATAACCTCGCTCTCAGGAGCTGAGAAATCACAGCTACATTCTAACAGTTTCACATAGTAAATATCATTCATTTAATTATCACATGTACTCCAGCTGTGGCTTAATGTACCAGTGCTAGGGTAACCTGTGCATTGTCGGATGTGATCGGGGAGGCCGTCCACACCAGCCGGGTGCAGAATATTGATGGGAGTGAAAATACCCTTGAAATTGCTTAGATCAGTCGTGATCATTGTTAGACACTATCCGTTGAACACATGAGAGCCCGAAAAGTCAATCGATCTATGTCTGACTTTATTTGAGTGGGAACTCATGACGTTATAGGCTACTCTGACACTGGCAGTGAGTTGAAGTGAAGTGCTGTACTGTGTGGATTGCCCAAAGTAATATCTTGGCTTGAAACAACGCAGTACGATATCCTGTCATCAGGCGTGGTACAGCTACAGCGACTGAAGTGTTGCAGTTCTGAATGATAATTACTAAAAAGAAACACTAGACTGTTGGTGGATCAAAATCAATATTACTGTTTACTTAACCGGAAATCACGGTTTTAGTGCTTTCGTTTGAGAACTGTTTAGTGTCTAAAATGTCTGTCGAAATTGTCAGTTGGAATCGTGCGTAACAACCCTGTAGATGTTGGCTCTACAATGAAGTGTTAACTCTACGATTTTATAATCAAGAATACTGATAACTAATTTTTTGCTGGTGTGGTTACTTGATCATTGATAGTGTGACTGCAGATTGTCGCGTGCCGGGGGCGCGGTTCACAGTGGTCCACCACTTTCATGGGTGAATGTTGTTTTTTTAACGCGTGACGCGCCCCGCCCGAGCCTTTGTCAAAAATTGCTTAAACTCAAGTATGTCGGATATTACATATACTAACTACAACATTTACAGTATTGTATTACAGTACCTTGGTGGTAAGTAGCCGAACAACTGAGCATTTTTGTATATTCAATTGTAATTGACTTTTCAGGGTCTTAGGTGTCATTAAGTTCACAATACAACTTTGCATTTAAGAACCTTCTAACGTACATGACGATTCTTTATATTTGCCATTAAGTATAATGCGATGCTTCAGAAAATGTAAATGTGAAGGTACCCCACCTACGTAGTCTAATACCCTGCAATCCTCCGTTCTTCAGACAGAAAAGAGCTGTTGTTTGCAAAGAAGGACAGCAGTTAACAAGCATAATACATGGCATTTGTGTGACATACATAGTCTTTGTCATACCACGGTGTTATATATTACTTATTGCCTCCTCTCCAAAATGTGCTGTCAAAACCTTCCCACTTCACATAGATAGGACTAGGTTTGCATAATGTGACAGTCCATCTCAACAACGTCCGTAATTTTCACTGACATGTGGTTTTGTTTGCCTTTTGTGTGAGTAAATATGTTACCATGGCGACCCTGCTATGTCAGTGACTGTTGTTATAAACCTTGGATTTTGTCAGTTAACTTTTCTAAAACTTACCTATTCTGTATTTAGTAGTTCATCATCGGCATGGGGTTAAGCTCATCATCGCATATAGTAAGACATTCTGCTCCAAAAACAGTTGTTCAGTTTTATGATTCCTGATTGTTTCCATAACATGATTAGCATGCACACACCCTTCATACACACATACGTATTTATGCATGTTGAATGTTATGTATATTTTAATCTCCCATCTGCAATACATGTTATGACTAAAATGGCAGTAAAATTAACCAACAGTATAAAGTAAATTTGTGATATGAATAATACTTAGCCTCACAGCACCACTGATCACAATGACATAGCGAACATAATCAGCTACAAATTAAAGTTATGCAGTATTTTATAATTTCGAATTAATACACATGCTTGTATAGAAGTCCAGCATACTCTTTGTTATTAGTTTGTAATAATTCAATTTTACTGATGCATTTATCTAATGCAAATATATGGTTGTCCAATTCAGTGAACGATGACTAGCGCCCTCAGTGTTCATCCATTGTCCAGTAAAATAACTACACAAGATCACTGGATTAATTAAGGCATTTTTGGCAAATATATAAACAGTATATGTTATAGAATAGTATCTGTAAACCATATACTGCCTTCTCATATCCATACTTATACAATGACACTAAACACCAAAGAGAATTTCGCTACAATGCCTTACAAGATTGCACATCTAATAATGTAAATTCTGTTTTGTCTAGAATATTGACTGCTGAAACAGCTGATATATATCGTTTTCATCTATGCCAGTGTCATCCACTGATAAATTTCTTGACGAGTTCTTCATTCTTGCACTCAATATTGTCCAACTTTTGCCTCTGAAAAAATCAAAAGTAAAAATAGACACGTGATGTCTTATAACAGGCACGTGATTATAACTATCCCTTATAAGGCTATACTTGAATGTGGTCACATTAAATATGCTAATACAATATCTATGACGTCACACTTGTTTTAGTATTGTGCGAGTATGCATGTACAGTGATTGACAAGAACCTGTCGGTCGCAAACGAAGATAAAATAACATTGTTATGCACTGTTGTTATTAAATATACCTGCACGTGTCCTGTTATGGGCAATGTTGCCACAGCAAATCGTGAGATTTTGATCAGTGATTTACAAACAGTCACAGTGCGACGGCATATAGGCAATTAATTATCTTTAATATTCCGACAACAGTCATGTAGTGTATATTGTACTTTTATTTTGTCATAATTAGTGGACAGCTTTCAGCCTGTTTATGTCATGCTATGGCACCTGACACCTACCAGCTTTTGGTACGTTTATGTGAGTTATGTTATACAGTACATACCGTGGACAGCTTCATTAACATTGGGATTTCTGGAATTGCTATGTCAGGAAGATTCTTAAAGGCATTGTCAGCGCAATTCCATCTGTAAATACAAAACAAAATATTACAAATAATACAATATTTCACCACTAAAAGATAAACCAGTATTATTGCCATGACTTCAAATTAGAGTTTACACACACAAACAATAATATAAAAAACATAGTTGAACTCTGGTGATCTTGCCCTTAGTTCCCTTTGTTATATAATATTATTCCATTTATCATCGTTTGTTTCAATATGAATATGCATTGTCATAATTAATTTTAATACAAATACAAGTTATGGAGTTGAAACAACAGTGGGGAATCAGTCTACCGAATGTCCTTGATAGATGTAAATATCTTACAAAAACATTGGTGCCTAATTTGTTTAATTATTTTAAGGGACATAATTTCCAGCTTTATTCAAAGTAATTCAGATTTTTTAGTATAAAACAAAAAGGTGCTGCATTTAGACGTGAAAAGATTCATAAACCATGCAAGATATTATAAAATCTTAGCTGGCTTTTGCCCAATTATTTTGTATAGGTGTCTGTCAAAAATTAATGATTCACTGAGACAAATATGAACTGCCTTATTATATTTATTGTGTGACTACTATATTATTTGAAAAGTAAACAAAAACTCCCTCTATGAATACCTATCATGTTGCAAGCTCTGCTTTCTAATGCAAATTTTAGTTAGTTGGTGCCCAGTGGAGAGAGAAGTACTTTGCTTCCTGAGAATCTACATCTTCAAACACTGCAATCTTTGTTTTTAAAGTGCATTTTAAAATTACTATTATAAAAGCTCTATCATTCTGTTCTAGTAGCTGAAACATATTCCTGTGAATTTTCATTTCCATTTTTTTCAAAATGTGGATGCAATGTTTTGCTTTTTATAATTTGTTTATGTATTGTTTTTGATTTGATAACTTTGAACTAAACAGATTTTATATTAGCTTCAGATCTTGAAATTCAGTCTAGTATTCCCATGGGATTTGGGAGATACATTACCTAGGATATTATTACAAGATGAATGATTTGCTTCATTGAACACATAAAACAATGCATATTTCCACTGAGATCAGTGACCTATGATGTGTATCGCCAGTGATCAGTCAAGTAGAAACAGTCAAAATATTTTCACAATTTTTGCATGATATTTTCATACAGGACATCTGTCATTCATACTCAGGGAAGACTTTATACTGATGAATACGGTGACCAAGTTTGAGGTTTGGACTAGAATTAGTAAAGTTATTGTGCACACAATGACAATTATTAATGACAACGATGACAACGACAACGCCGGACAACAACGACAACGCCGGACAGAAATTTGTCCCTTAATATACCTTTCCTTCCCGTCTTTGATGTTACGGGCAAGGTAAAAAGCTGTGACACAAAACATTTTTATTCTGTTAATTGTTGTGATTTTATTGTCATTCATAGTAATCTAATGTATACCATGATGTTTATGGGTATTATAACGTAATATATTGAATAGCTTGAGTTTATGATATCTGTGTTCAGATTGAAATGTGACAATCCGATCATTAGCAAAAACAGCATTTGTCATTACGATGCAATTGGTACGTATATTTGAAAACTGTATACTAGTAAACAATCGTACACTTGAACATTGCTCAAAGATACTATGACAATGGCATTGAGTAATAATTTAATAATGTGATTGACTTTAATAAACATGGCTTTATAATAGTTGTGACTTGTGCAAATTATGGAGAAGCACAAATAATGACAATTTTAATGTAACATGTATCATTGTTTATCTGAAATAAAGAATCATATAGTGGCACTCAATGTTTGTCTATGCCATGGGGCAATTAAACCTGCCAAAGAGTGATACTTATATTAGAATTTATCATGCGTCATCTCGATTTCACAAGAAAACATACTAATCCCGTGACCATAAGTCACACATTCTTTGCTGGGAGACGTTGGTTTTTGTTGGATTCCACTTTGCATAACAGAAAATATTAAGTCATTAGTTATCCCTTCCAGTGTTCTGAAAGGGGACTAAATAATCTAGTTTCATTAATTTGTTTTATTCATTTAGTAATTTTAAATCAAAAGAATCATTGTTTTTTTTATCTACTTTATTTTAGTTTATCTCATCTTGTAATTGGGACCCGCCTGTTATATTGGAAGATAATTGAATAAAAAAACGTAAATATTTGTGTTTAGCATAAATCCTTTTTATTCAAGAAAGTAATGACATCTTAATTTGAGTCATTCCTTTCTGCTGACTTTTTTTTATTTCAAATAGCGACTTTAACGGAATGACTGCAAAACTCAGTTTTCATGGATAGATAATTATCAAATATAGAAATCAAAATACAATGTTTTTGTATGGCTTTATTCGACAGCGTGGATGATTAAATACTTGTGATAGGTCAAGTAAAACGAAACTTACGCTTTTTGGTCTCCTACGATGCAGAGGATGAAGACAGATCCTTCTGGTGCAACATCCAGGCCTTTTTCAATGACTGGGTCAGCTACAACAATAATTAATACTAGATTAATAATTTATTCCAAGATCTGGTCCTGACGTATTTTGAAAATATCACAACATTTTCTATATGTGCAATGCGATACAGTACAACATTTCAATAGGGAAAATACAGACTTCAATCACTTGGCGGACCTCGCATAATACACCACACTATAGTAATAACTATATTACTAGCATTTGTACCAAGCGACCGGCTATAACCACATTACTAGCATCAGTACCAACCTAGTAGCAATAACCACTTTACTAGCATTAGTACCAAGCTAGTAGCAATAACAACATTACTAGCATTAGTACCAACCTAGTAGCAATAACCACATTACTAGCATTAGTACCAAGCTAGTAGCAATAACCACTTTACTAGCATTAGTACCAAGCTAGTAGCAATAACAACATTACTAGCATTAGTACCAAGCTAGTAGCAATAACCACATTACTAGCATTAGTACCAAGCTAGTAGCAATAAACACATTACTAGCATTAGTACCAAGCTAGTAGCAATAACCACATTACTAGTATTAGTACCAAGCTAGTAGCAATAACCACTTTACTAGCATTAGTACTAAGATGGTAGCAATAACAACATTACTAGCATTAGTACCAAACTAGTAGCAAAAACCATATTACTAGCATTAGCACCAAGCTAGTAGCAATAACCACTTTACTAGCATTAGTACCAAGCTAGTAGCAATAACAACATTACTAGCATTAGTACCAAGCTAGTAGCAATAACCACATTACTAGCATTATTACCAAGCTAGTAGCAATAACCACTTTACTAGCATTAGTACTAAGCTGGTAGCAATAACCACATTACTAGAATTAGTACCAAACTAGTAGCAATAACCATATTACTAGCATTAGTACCAAACTAGTAGCAATAACCATATTACTAGCATTAGTACCAAGCTGGCAGCAATAACCACATTACTAGCATTAGTACCAAGCTGGTAGCAATAACCACATTACTACCAAGCTGGTAGCAATAACCACATTACTAGCATTAGCACCAAGCTAATGGCAATAACCACATTACTAACATTAGTACCAAACTAGTAGCAATAACCACTTTACTAGCATTAGTAACAAGCTAGTGGCAATAAGCACTTTACTAGCATTAGTACCAAGCTAGTAGCAATAACCACATTACTAGCATTAGTACCAAGCTAGTAGAAATAACCACTTTACTAGCATTAGTACTAAGCTGGTAGCAATAACCACATTACTAGCATTAGTACCAAACTAGTAGCAATAACCATATTACTAGCATTAGTACTAAGCTAGTAGCAATAACCACATTACTACCAAGCTACTAGCAATAACCACATTACTAGCATTAGTACCAAGCTAGTAGCAATAACCACATTACTAGCATTAGTACCAAGCTAGTAGCAATAATCACATTACTACCAAGCTATTAGCAATAACCACATTACTAGCATTAGTAGCAAGCTGGCAGCAATAACCACATTACTAGCATTACTACCAAGCTATTAGCAATAACCACATTACTAGCATTAGTACCAAGCTGGCAGCAATAACCACATTACTACCAAGCTATTAGCAATAACCACATTACTAGCATTAGTACCAAGCTGGTAGCAATAACCACATTACTACCAAGCTGGTAGCAATAACCACATTACTAGCATTAGAACCAATCTAATGGCAATAACCACATTACTAGCATTAGTACCAAACTAGTAGCAATAATCATATTACTAGCATTAGTAACAAGCTAGTAGCAATAACCACATTGCTAGCATTAATACCAAACTAGTAGCAATAACCATATTACTCGCATTAGTAACAAGTAAGTAGCAATAACCACATTACTAGCATTAGTACCAAGCTAGTAGCAATAACCACATTACTACCAAGCTATTAGCAATAACCACATTACTAGCATTAGTACCAAGCTGGCAGCAATAACCACATTACTAGCATTACTACCAAGCTATTAGCAATAACCACATTACTAGCATTAGTACCAAGCTGGTAGCAATAACCACATTACTCCCAAGCTGGTAGCAATAACCACATTACTAGCATTAGAACCAAGCTAATGGCACTAACCACATTACTAGCATTAATACCAAACTAGTAGCAATAACCATATTACTAGCATTAGTAACAAGTAAGTAGCAATAACCACATTACTAGCATTAGTACCAAGCTAGTAGCAATAACCACATTACTACCAAGCTATTAGCAATAACCACATTACTAGCATTAGTACCAAGCTGGCAGCAATAACCACATTACTAGCATACTACCAAGCTATTAGCAATAACCACATTACTAGCATTAGTACCAAGCTGGTAGCAATAACCACATTACTCCCAAGCTGGTAGCAATAACCACATTACTAGCATTAGAACCAATCTAATGGCAATAACCACATTACTAGCATTAATACCAAACTAGTAGCAATAATCATATTACTAGCATTAGTAACAAGCTAGTAGCAATAACCACATTGCTAGCATTAATACCAAACTAGTAGCAATAACCATATTACTAGCATTAGTAACAAGTAAGTAGCAATAACCACGTTACTAGCATTAGTACTAAGTTGGTAGCAATAACCACATTACTACCAAGCTATTAGCAATAACCACATTACTAGCATTAGTACCAAGCTGGCAGCAATAACCACATTACTAGCATTACTACCAAGCTATTAGCAATAACCACATTACTAGCATTAGCACCAAGCTAGTAGCAATAACCACATTACTCCCAAGCTGGTAGCAATAACCACATTACTAGCATTAGTACCAAGCTGGTAGCAATAACCACATTACTACCAAGCTATTAGCAATAACCACATTACTAGCATTAGTACCAAGCTGGCAGCAATAACCACATTACTAGCATTACTACCAAGCTATTAGCAATAACCACATTACTAGCATTAGCACCAAGCTAGTAGCAATAACCACGTTACTAGCATTAGTACTAAGCAAGTAGCAATAACCACATTACTAGCATTGGTACCAAGCTAGTAGCAATAACCACATTACTACCAAGCTATTAGCAATAACCACATTACTAGCATTAGTACCAAGCTAGTAGCAATAACCACATTACTACCAAGCTATTAGCAATAACCACATTACTAGCATTAGTACCAAGCTGGAAGCAATAACCACATTACTAGCATTACTACCAAGCTATTAGCAATAACCACATTACTAGCATTAGTACCAAGCTGGTAGCAATAACCACATTACTCCCAAGCTGGTAGCAATAACCACATTACTAGCATTAGAACCAAGCTAATGGCAATAACCACATTACTAACAGTAGTACCAAACTAGTAGCAATAACCACTTTTCTAGCATTAGTGCCAAGCTAGTAGCAATAACCACTTTACTAGCATTAGTACCAAGCTAGTAGCAAAAACAACATTACTAGCATTAGTACCAAGCTAGTAGCAATAACCACTTTACTAGCATTAGTACTAAGCTGGTAGCAATAAGCACATTACTAGCATTAGTACCAAACTAGTAGCAATAACCATATTACTAGCATTAGTAACAAGCGAGTAGCAATAACCACATTACTAGCATTAGTACCAAACTAGTAGCAATAACCACATTACTAGCATTAGTACCAAGCTAGTAGCAATAACCACATTACTACCAAGCTAGTAGCAATAACCACATTACTAGCATTAGTACCAAGCTAGTAGCAATAACCTGA